TTTAGATTTCAAAACAATTCTATGGGGTAACTGTTGCCAAGTCATTTTGATGTCATAAGCTTCCATTCCATAATGTCACAGTTAGGTTTGATTTGGTGCTCAGAACACTTTAAGACAAACTGTATTGGATTGTAAGACAAACTTCAGACAAAAAAAATAAGAAAAGCAGTCACAAAACTCAAGATGAGGGAAGAACAGCCTCCATACAAGTCGAGCTCGGTGTATAATGAACTCCGTTTTGAGGGAAAATTTTGTGATGCAATCATCAAAGTGGAGGATGTCGAATTTCCGGTCCACAAGATAATCCTGTGTAACTGCACCCCGTACTTCAGGTGAGTTGCTTACCTGATAATGGGGAGGAATGATTACCGATTTATACCCCAGAAAAATGTAATTCATGGTCTTAGTCTGTGAAACGGAGCCAACAAAAAGGAATCATGGAGCTTTTGTGATAAAAAAGACGGTCACAGTCAACTGACAGGTATACCCAAAACATAACGCAAACATTTGCCAGCAGTGCAGATTTCATTTTTACCTTCACACAGCTCCAGATTCCAGCTCAGTAAATGTGCCATTTAAAAGAGACTGTGAGGCACTTGGTGACTGCATGAACTAAATTCAGACTGTATTGAGCTGAAGTTTCATTTATGTGTTTTATTAAGTTACGTTAATATCATATCCACTGTTATCCACACAGTAAAACACACCAGATCTACTAATACTAAAAATGTTGAATGCTATTATGCAGTTATATGCTGTGCAAAAGGTTTGAGTTGCCTCTCATGTCGTTATGTTTTGCTTTGAAGTAGATGATTTTTTAAAGGTACACAATAGTTCTCGGAGGCTTTATTGAAGACTTTCAAAGGTTTTGAGTGGACATTTTTCACCCTTTTCGGTCCAGTCATTGTACCTGACCGTTTTCAGAGGAATGGTTTTATTTTATTTTATTTAGGGCAGCACGGTGGCACGGTGGTTAGCACTGTTGCCGCACAGCAAGAAGGTCCTGAGTTCAAT